CTAGAAAGAACTGTTATACACATATTTTTCTATAGAGAACACTGTTATACACAATTTTTTTGTAAAAAAAACTGTTATACTCAAATTTTTTCTATAGAAAAAATTTTTATACACAAATTTTTCGTAGAAAAACTGTTATACACAATTTTTTCTTTAGAAAAAACTGTTATACACAAATTTCTCTATAGAAAAATATGTTATACACAAATTCTTCTATAGAAAAACTGTTATACACAAATTTTTCTATGGAAAAAACACACACATATTTTCTATAGAAGATTTTATTATACACAAATATTTCTATAGAAAAATGTGTTATACACAAGCTTTTCTATAGAAAAAACTCTTATACGCAAATTTTACTTTAAGGAAAACTATTATACATTTTTTTTCTGTAGAAAAAACTGTTTTTCTAAAATATTTCTCAGAAAAAAACTGTTATACACAAATTTTTCTCAATTTTTCTATAGAAAGAAGTGTTATACACAAATTTTTCTCCAGCAAAAACCCTTATACTCAATTCTTTCTTTGAAAAATGTGTTATACACTAATTTTTCTATAGAAAAACTGTTATACACAAATTTTTCTTTAGATAAAACTGTTATACACCAATTTTTCTATTGCAGAAACTGTTATGCACAAATTTTTCTATAGAGAAAACTGTTAAACATAAATTTTGCTATAGAAAAACTGTTATACATACATTTTTCTATAGAAAAAACTGTTATACACAAATTTTTCTATACAAGAATTTATTATACACAAAGTTTTCTGTAGAAAAATGTGTTATACATACATTTTTCTATGGCAAAATGTGTTATACATACATTTTTCTATAGAAAAATGTGTTATATACAAACATATTCTCCAGAAAAAACTGTTATACACAAATTTTTCTCTAAATAAAACTGTTATACACAAATTAACTTTAAAGAAAATTATTATACAAAAAATTTTCTATAGAGAAAACTGTTATACACAATTTTTTTTTTAGAAAAACTTTTTTACAATTTGTTTCCTTTTCTAGTTAGTCCCTCTATTTTAGCTGCAATTTTTTTTTAAATATTTTTTGGATTCAAAAATTTTGTTTGTTTTATTTTTTCTTTTCAATTTGTAAATATTTTTTATTTTTTGTTGTTGTTGTTGTTTTATCATTATTTTTTGTCCTTTTTTAATTACATTATTTTGTATATATAATTTTTTTTTTTAATTAAAATATGTAGTTTTTTTAATTTATATATATTTATAATAATTTTTTTCACTAAACTATTGCATTTACATTGAATTTTTTACACACATTTACAAGATTTTTTGTTGTTAATTATTTTGAAAAATATTTTTAAATATATTTTTTTTTAAAGTGAACACAAAAATAAATGATTTTAGTTTCTGTAAATTTTATTTAGGGGATTTTAATAAGAATTTTTATAGTTTTTTTTGTTTAAATTTACATTTATTAAATTTAAGGATTTTTATGATTTATATATAAATAACATTTATATAATTTCGTTTTTTTTTTGTATGTTTTGAAAAGGTGCGATCCTGAAATGTTTACATGATTTGATTTGTGTTTATTTTTTCGTTTTTTTATTAAGGATTAAAGGATTTAGCGAGACTAGTTGTCTAGTCTGTGATCTGTTCTATAGATAAGTCTATGGAATAGTCTATGGCCTAGTCTATGTACAAGTCTATGGACTAGTCTATGAACTACTCTATGGGCTTGTCTGCGGACTAGTCTATGGACTAGTCTATAAACTAATCTATTGACTTGTCTACAGAATTGTATATGGTCTAGTCTATGAACTGGTTTATAGAGTAATCTATGAACTAGTCTATAGAGTAATCTATTGACTAGTCTGTGGACTAGTCTGTGAACTAGTCTATGGACTAGTCTTTGGCCTAGTCTATGGACTAGTCAATGAACTAGTCTATGGAATAGTCTGTGGTCTAGCCTATGGAATACTCTATGGACTAATCTATGGACTAATCTACGGACTAGTCTATGGACTAGTCTGTGAACTAGTCCATGGACTAGTCTGTGAACTAGTCTATGGACTAGTCTGTGGTCTATGGACTAGTCTATGGACTAGTCTATGGACTAGTCTCTGGACTAGTCTATGGACTAGTCTATGGACTAGTCTATGGACTAGTCACTAGTCTATGGACTAGTCTGTGGTCTAGCCTATGGACTAGTCTATGGACTAATCTATGGACTAGTCTATGGACTAGTCTATGAACTAGTCTATGGACTAGTCTATGGACTAGTCTGTGAACTAGTCTGTGGACTGGTCTGTGGACTAGTCTATGGACTAGTCTATGGACTAGTCTGTGGTCTAGCCTATGGACTAGTCTATGGACTAATCTATGGACTAGTCTATGGACTAGTCTATGAACTAGTCTATGGACTAGTCTATGGACTAGTCTGTGAACTAGTCTGTGGACTGGTCTGTGGACTAGTCTATGGACTAGTCAATGAACTAGTCTATGGACTAGTCTATGGACTATTCTGTGAACTAGTCTTTGGACTAGTCTGTGGACGAATCTATAGACTAGTCTATTGACTAATCTGTGGACTAGTCTATGGACTAGTCTATAAACTAATCTATTGACTTGACTAAAGACTTGTCCATTGATTAGTATATAAACTAGTCTATGAAATAGTCCAGTCTATACGATAAACTAACCTGTGGTCTAGTTTACGAACTACTATACTACCATTTGCTTAAAGTCGCATTTCCGCTAAATCCTTTTGTTAATAAACTATTTACATTAACTTATTAAAAATGTACAATGTTTATAGATGTTTGTTTTTAAAACAAATTTATTTGTTATAAACTTTTTTTTCACGTTTTCTATAAGGTACTCAATTTGCTATTATTTGTAATGATTTCTTTAGAATTTTCATTTGATAGAGGTTTGAAAAGAAAATGTGGAAATAATTAAAAATAAAAAACTAAAATTAATAATAATTAAAAAAAAAAAATTAGAAAATTTTAATAAACAAACAAGTTAAACAAAATTTAAAAACTTTCCTATGGCTATATATAGTATCAAATGACAAATGATTAACTTTGTGCATTTAATTTTACTAAATTTAAAACTACAATTTTGTTGTAATTACAACAAGGTTTAATTTTTGAAAATCGCTTGAAAATTAAACAAAATATGCAACTTTAAAGTAAATCATATCATTCTCTCATATATTTTTATACTAAGGCCTAAAAGTATGCTTTAAAATTAAACAAATGATACACACATTTAGTAAAGTGTGATAATTTTATATCAAGCTTTAGAAAAAGTTGAATAACTTGATCAATTTTAAAGGGATTTCAAAAAAATTGGTGGCGTTTTAAAGAGAACAAAATCCACTTTAATAATATGATAATAAATCTATTAGGCCTTAAAGAAAAAACTGCTTAAAATGTAGGCGAAATAAGACCCTTAACAGAAACTAAACGAATAGTTTTATATAGGAATATCTAACAAGATAAAGGTTAAAGGGAATAACCGTGTTTAGGGAATATATGGAGAAGGAGTTAAACTATAAGAAATATGTTACTATAACCATATTGTTGTTAAATAAGAGCAGTTAAAGGGTGTTGAAATAGTACACAAGTAGCACTTCCTGCCTTTTTAAACATTAACTCTTTTTTAACAAGATGAAAGTTTATAGATTTCTATTATAAATGTTAAACATAATTTTGTTAAACTTACAACAACAATTGTTTACTGCAAATCGGTTAATAATTGTAGCAATTATTTTACTTTTATAAACAATAACCTAAGTTATCAGCTTTGATGACTTTTCTTGCAAAATAAAAGGGTCTTTCAAATTTAGAAACAAAATATTAGTACGTCAAGAACTAAACTAGAAATGGACTAAAACAAAATTGGAACAGAATTAGAACAGAACAAGAAGAGAACTTAAACAGAACTAGAAATAAAATAGAACAGAATTAGAACAGAATTAGAACAGGACTAGAACTGAACTAGAACTGATATAGAACTAACCTAAAATTGAACTAGAACTGAACTAGAACTGGAACTGAACTGGAACTGAACTGGAACTGAACTAGAACTGAACTAGAACTGATCAAAAACTGCTCAAAAACTGATCAAGAACTGAACTAGAGCTGAACTAGAACTAAACAAGAAAAGAACTAAAAGAGAACTAGAAATGAACTGGAACAGAATTAGAAATGAACTAGAACAAAACTGGAAAAGAATTAGAACAGAACTAAAACTGAATTAGAATTAGTACTGAACTAGAGCTGAAATAGAACTGAACTAGAACATTACTGGAATAGAATTAGAACAGAGACATAAATAAACTAGAACAGAACTGGAACAGAATTAGAACTGAACTAGAACTGAGCTAGAACAGAACTAGAATTGAACTAGAACTGAGCTAGAACTGAACTAGAACTGATCTTGAATTGAACTAGAACTGAACTAAAATTAAACTAGAACTGAACTAGAACTGATCTAGAACTGAACTAGAACTGAACTAGAACTAAACTAGAACTGAACTAGAACTGAACTAGAACTGAACTAGAACTGAACTCGAACTAAACTACAACTGAACTAGAAGTAAACAAGAACAGAACTAAAAGAGAACTAGAAATGAACTGGAACAGAATTAGAACAGAACTAAAACTGAATTAGAATTAGTACTGAACTAGAGCTGAAATAGAACTGAACTAGAACATTACTGGAATAGAATTAGAACAGAGACATAAATAAACTAGAACAGAACTGGAACAGAATTAGAACTGAACTAGAACTGAGCTAGAACAGAAGTAGAATTGAACTAGAACTGAGCTAGAACTGAACTAGAACTGATCTAGAACTGAACTAGAACTGAACTAAAACTAAACTAGAACTGAACTAGAACTGATCTAGAACTGAACTAGAACTGAACTAGAACTAAACTAGAACTGAACTAGAACTGAACTAGAACTGAACTCGAACTAAACTACAACTGAACTAGAAGTAAACAATAAATATTTTCTTTTTTTTTATTATAATTGTCACAAAAATATAGTTTCTTTCTCCTTTATAAGCTTGGCTTTTGTTTTTCTTTTAAATATTTTTTTTCTCTAGTTTAAAACCTTTAAATTTGTTGCTAACTTTTCTTTTCTCTTAAATGATTTTTGTGTTTTAACTTATATTTATATGTACTATGTATATGTATCTACCCGCCCCTTATGTTTTATTTAATTTATTTTTTTTTAATATGTTGGAACAGAATTAGAACTGAACTAGAACTGAGCTAGAACAGAACTAGAATTGAACTAGAACTGAGCTAGAACTGAACTAGAACTGATCTTGAATTGAACTAGAACTGAACTAAAATTAAACTAGAACTGAACTAGAACTGATCTAGAACTGAACTAGAACTGAACTAGAACTAAACTAGAACTGAACTAGAACTGAACTAGAACTGAACTAGAACTGAACTCGAACTAAACTACAACTGAACTAGAAGTAAACAAGAACAGAACTAAAAGAGAACTAGAAATGAACTGGAACAGAATTAGAACAGAACTAAAACTGAATTAGAATTAGTACTGAACTAGAGCTGAAATAGAACTGAACTAGAACATTACTGGAATAGAATTAGAACAGAGACATAAATAAACTAGAACAGAACTGGAACAGAATTAGAACTGAACTAGAACTGAGCTAGAACAGAAGTAGAATTGAACTAGAACTGAGCTAGAACTGAACTAGAACTGATCTAGAACTGAACTAGAACTGAACTAAAACTAAACTAGAACTGAACTAGAACTGATCTAGAACTGAACTAGAACTGAACTAGAACTAAACTAGAACTGAACTAGAACTGAACTAGAACTGAACTCGAACTAAACTACAACTGAACTAGAAGTAAACAAGAACAGAACTAAAAGAGAACTAGAAATGAACTGGAACAGAATTAGAACAGAACTAAAACTGAATTAGAATTAATACTGAACTAGAACTGAACTAGAGCTGAACTAGAACATTACTGGAATAGAATTAGAACAGAAACATAAATAAACTAGAACAGAACTGGAACAGAATTAGAACTGAACTAGAACTGAGCTAGAACAGAACTAGAACTGAACTAGAATTGAACTAGAACTGAGCTAGAACTGAACTAGAACTGATCTAGAACTGAACTAGAACTGAACTAAACTAGAATATTACTGGAACAGAATTAGAAAGAACTAGAAATGAACTAGAACAGAATTAGAACAGAACTGGAACTGAACTAGAAGAGAACTAGAATGAAAATGAACTAGAACAGAATTAGAACTGAACTAGAAGTGAACTAAAACAGAACTAGAAGTGAACTAGAACAGAAATGGAACTGGACTAGAACTGAACTAGAATTGAACTAGAACTAAACTAGAATTGAACTAGAAGTGAACTAGAAGTGAACTAGAACTGAACTAGAACAGAACTTGTACTGAACTAGAAATAAACTAGAACTGAACTACAACTGAACTAGAACTGAACTAGAACTGAACTAGAACTGAACTAGAACTGAACTAGAACTGAACTAGAACTGAACTAGAACTGAACTGGAACTGAAGTAGAACTGAACTATAACTGAACTAGAGCTGAACTAGAACTGAACTAGAACTGAACTGGAACTGAACTAGAACTGAACTAGAACTGAACTAGAACATTACTGGAATAGAATTAGAACAGAAAAATAAATAAACTAGAACAGAACTGGAACAGAATTAGAACTGAACTAGAACTGAGCTAGAACAGAACTAGAATTGAACTAGAACTGAGCTAGAACTGATCTAGAACTGAACTAGAACTGAACTAGAACTGAACTAAAACTGAACTAGAACTAAACTAGAACTGAACTAGAACTGAACTAGAACTGAACTCGAACTAAACTAGAACTGAACTAGAACTGAACTAGAACTGAACTAGAACTGAACTAGAACTGAACTAGAACTGAACTAGAACTGAACTGAAACTGAACTAGAACTGATCTAGAATTTAACTAGAACTGAACTAGCACTGAACTAGAACTGATCTAGAACTGAACTAGAACTGAACTAGAACTGACCAAGAACTGAACTAAAACTGAACTAGAACTGTACTAGAACTGAACTAGAACTGAACTAGAACTGAACTAGAACTGAACTAGAACTGAACTAGAACTGAACTAGAACTGAACTAGAACTGAACTAGAACTGAACTAGAACTGTACTAGAACTGAACTAGAACTGAACTAGAACTGAACTAGAACTGAACTAGAACTGAACTAGAACTGAACTAGAACTGAACTAGAACTGAACTAGAACTGAACTAGAACTGATCTAGAATTTAACTAGAACTGAATTAGAACTGAAATATTATTGAGGTCCTTTTGTGTTAAATAAAGTTCTTTTTACTACAAGTTTCAAATGATTTTACAAATTTTGTTTTTTTATTCTTTTTTTAGTATCTGTTTTGTTGTTTTGACAAAATGTTTGTTTTTTTACAATTAAAATAATAAAAATTACAGACAAAAGTAAATTTTATAAGTTTAAAAAAAAGGAAAAATTATAAAATTATATAATTAAACAAAATAACAATTAAAATTAGGAAAAAAAAATAAAAAATATAAAAAGAAGAGAAAAAAATAATTAGTTAAAGTAGAAGATTATTAAAATATAATTAAAAACTACAAAAAGTAAATAAATGTAAAGTTGTTGTTTTTTTGTTTTTTGTTTAATAAATTTAAAAAACTATGAAGGTAGTAGTTATGGTATGGTAATTTTTTTGAATTTTTGTTTAAAAATAAAAAATATAAAGATATAATTATAACAAAAAATATTTTATATATATAAAGACAATAATATTTAATTATAATTAAAAGAATAGTTTAACATAAAAAAAATATAATAATAATAATAATTATAAAAAAACCGTTTAATAAAAAATAAACCTCTTAAAAATTATAAAATTTAACATTTATTTTATTATTTTATTAATAACTTTTTTTTATTAAATTTTTTATTTAGTTTTTTATTTAATTTTTTATAGTTATATTTAAAATATAGTTTAAGGTACATTTTTTCTTTTTTTTTAATAATTTTTTTTTTGTGTTTTTTTTAATTTTGTAATGTACTCCCTAAATAGTTGTTGTTTTTTTTTTAATATTTTACATAATTATTTATAATTTGTTTAATAATAAAAACAAGAACAAGTTTTTTTTATATGCTGATTTGATTTGTTTTGTTGTAGTGGTATCTGTTTGTTTAAATTTTTAAGTTTTTTTGTTTTAACATTTAGTTTATAATTTTTCTGTTTTAAACATCAAGCAACAAGTGGGTTTGTTTTTTTTTTTAATTTATATTTTTTTTTTAATAATTAAAATCTATACATTTATAACGTTTTTTTATAGTTTTACTTAATTAGTGTTGTTTTATTTTAGTTTTTTTAGTTATTTTTTAAATAATTTTTTTGTTTACTTTTTTGAATAAAGTATTTTAAGCTTAAATTTTAAATTATTTACATAAAATAACAATTACTTTTTTCCTTCAATTAGGTTTTTCACAAAATATATTAAATTTACTTACTAAAATTAACAACAAAGTTTTTTTCTTTTAATAATTTGTTTGTATTTTCTAAAGACAATCCCCCCAAATGAAAATATTTTCTTTTATTTATATGTAACATTATTTTTTTTAAATTTTTACATAAACCACAAAAATCCTAAAGTTTAAATTAAAGTTTCTCAATTTGCCTGAAAGTATGCCTTAAAAAAGGTGTCTTTGTAAAGCCTGAAAGTTTGTTTTTATTTATGTTTAAATATTTTCTTTTTTTTTATTATAATTGTCACAAAAATATAGTTTCTTTCTCCTTTATAAGCTTGGCTTTTGTTTTTCTTTTAAATATTTTTTTTCTCTAGTTTAAAACCTTTAAATTTGTTGCTAACTTTTCTTTTCTCTTAAATGATTTTTGTGTTTTAACTTATATTTATATGTACTATGTATATGTATCTACCCGCCCCTTATGTTTTATTTAATTTATTTTTTTTTAATATGTTGCCTTTGCTTTAAACATTTTTTACACTTTTCTTTTTGCATGCAACATTTCCATGAGTAACGTTTGTGTGGGTGCACTGCCAGCGCAGTGTTTTGAATATAAGTGCTCTTCACCACGCGCTGCCATCGCATGTATGTCGGGCAGTATACTTAACAGCCTCCTAAATTTATCCTGCAAAAAGTAGAAAAAAAAAACAAAATAATGAGTTTATTATATTATTAGATATTTTTAGTTGTAATCAATCAATAATTGTTATATTTACAAAGTAAAAAAGGAAAAATATAAAACTGAACTAAAACAGAACTGGAACAGCACTAGAACAGAACTAGAACTGAACTAGAACTGAACTAGTACTGAACTAGAACAGAACTAGAACAGAACTAGAATAGAACTAGAACAGAACTAGAACAGAACTAGAACTGAACTAGAACTGAACTAGAACTGAACTAGAACTGAACTAGAAATGAACTAGAACTGAACTAGAATTGAACAAGAACTGAACTAGAACTGAACTAGAACTGAACTAGAACTGTACTAGAACTGAACTAGAACTGAACTAGAACTGAACTAGAACTGAACTAGAACTGAACTAGAACTGAACTAGAACTGAACTAGAACTGAACTAGAACTGAACTAGAACTGAACTAGAACTGAACTAGAACTGAACTAGAACTGAACTAGAACTGAACTAGAACTGAACTAGAACTGAACTAGAACTGAACTAGAACTGAACTAGAACTGAACTAGAACTGAACTAGAACTGAACTAGAACTGAACTAGAACTGAACTAGAACTGAACTAGAACTGAACTAGAACTGAACTAGAACTGAACTAGAACTGAACTAGAACTGAACTAGAACTGAACTAGAACTGAACTAGAACTGAACTAGAACTGAACTAGAACTGAACTAGAACTGAACTAGAACTGAACTAGAACTGAACTAGAACTGAACTAGAACTGAACTAGAACTGAACTAGAACTGAACTAGAACTGAACTAGAACTGAACTAGAACTGAACTAGAACTGAACTAGAACTGAACTAGAACTGAACTAGAACTGAACTAGAACTGAACTAGAACTGAACTAGAACTAGAACTAGAACTGAACTAGAACTAGAACTAGAACTAGAACTAGAACAGAACTAGAACAGAACTAGAACAGAACTAGAACAGAACTAGAACAGAACTAGAACAGAACTAGAACAGAACTAGAACAGAACTAGAACAGAACTAGAACAGAACTAGAACAGAACTAGAACAGAACTAGAACAGAACTAGAACAGAACTAGAACAGAACTAGAACAGAACTAGAACAGAACTAGAACAGAACTAGAACAGAACTAGAACAGAACTAGAACAGAACTAGAACAGAACTAGAACAGAACTAGAACAGAACTAGAACAGAACTAGAACAGAACTAGAACAGAACTAGAACAGAACTAGAACAGAACTAGAACAGAACTAGAACAGAACTAGAACAGAACTAGAACAGAACTAGATCAGACTAGAACAGAACTAGAACAGAACTAGAACAGAACTAGAACAGAACAGAACTAGAATAGAACTAAAACAGAACTAGAACAGAACAGAACTAGAACAGAACTAGAATAGAACTAGAACAGAACTAGAACAGAACTAGAACAGAACTAGAACAGACCTAGAACAGAACTAGAACAGAACTAGAACAGAACAGAACAGAACTAGAACAGAACTAGAACAGAACTAGAACAGAACTAGAACAGAACTAGAACAGAACTAGAACAGAACTAGAACAGAACTAGAACAGAACTAGAACAGAACTAGAACAGAACTATAACTGAACTAGAACTAACTACTAGAACTGAACTAGAAAAGAACGAGAACTAGAACAGAATGAGAACTAGAACAGAACAGAACTAGAACAGAACTAGAACTAGAAACTATAGAACTGAACTAGAACTGAACTAGAACTGAACTAGAACTGAACTAGAACTGAACTAGAACTGAACTAGAACTGAACTAGAACTGAACTAGAACTGAACTAGAACTGAACTAGAACTGAACTAGAACTGAACTAGAACTGAACTAGAACTGAACTAGAACTGAACTAGAACTGAACTAGAACTGAACTAGAACTAAACTAGAACTGAACTAGAACTGAACTAGAACTGAACTAGAACTGAACTAGAACTGAACTAGAACTGAACTAGAACTGAACTAGAAATGAACTAGAAATGAACTAGAACTGAACTGGCAAACCCATACCCTGGCTATAAAAACAAACACCCTCAGGTATGCTTTACATTTCAACGTTTCATTTCTAGCTTTAGGCCGCTAACAAATCAAGTGCATAATTTCACACAATTTTTTATTTAAACGATCTCAAACACTTACCGTCACAGATGGATAACACGTTAATGTATAATCTAATAACGCTGCTTGTACATTTTCGTGACCCTGCAATACAGTTTTCTTATTGATAATACCTCGTACATCTGTAAAGTATTTTACAAATTTCATTAATAATTTTGCGTTAATATCTTTTCTCATAAATACTTACCTGGATTTAATAAAATTAAAAATTTCATACACACATAATCGCCCATATCAAATTTCAAATCTTGCAATTTATTTTGCAATTCATTGAAATAATCGGAGAGCTGTGGTACGCCCAGTAGGCCTAAACTAAGGAGATTAAAGACTTGACCATTATTCAGTTGGGTCTCGTCCGGCAGGCCATTGTGTATGCGCTGATGCAGATGATCCAATACTAACATATCGGACCATGAATGTTGTAGAAGTTTCATTTGATCGTCGACCTGAAAGGAGAGGAAAGGGAAAGGAAGAAAGAGAGAGAGATTAGAGTTTTGTTACTAAAGAAATTTATGAATTTCTATACAAAAATGTGCATATAACAGATTTTGAGTAAGAAAATTTTTTGTATAACAGTTTTTTTGGTTACATTTATTTATGTATAACAGTTTCTTTTTTCTAAAGAAAAATGTGTGTACAAAACTTTTCTTTAGAGAAAAATTTGTGTATAACAATTTCTCTATAGAAAAATTTGAGTATAACTGTTTTTCTATAGAAAAAAATGTGTATAACAGTTTTTTTTCTAAAGAAAATTTGTGTATAAAAGTTTTCTCTATTGAAAAATTGTGTAAAACACTTTTTCCTTACAACAATTTGTGTTTTTCTGTAGAAAAATTGGTGTATAACACGTTTTTCTATAGAAAAATTTGAGTATAACAGTTTTCTTCAAACAAATTTTTTTATATAACAGTTTTTTCTACACAAAAATTTGTGTATAACACGTTTTTCTATAGAAAAATTAGTTTATAACAGTTTTCTTTAAAGAAAAAATTGTGTATAACAGTTTTTCTACAGAAAAAAGTTATGTATAACAGTTTCCTCCATAGAAAAAAATGTGTATAACACTTTTTCCATAGAAAATAGTTGTGTATAACAATTTTTCCACAGAAAAAAGTTGTGTATAACACTTTTTCTTTAGAAAAATGTGTGTTTTTCTATAGAAAAATTGGTGTATAACACTTTTTTCTGTAGAAAAATTTGTGTATAACAGTTTTTTCTTCAAAGAAAAGTTTATGTATAACAGTTTCTCTATAAAAAATTTTGTATAACAGTTTTTTATATAGAAACATTTTGGTATAAAAGTTTTCTATAGAAAAAAATGTGTATGACTGTTTTCTCTATAGAAAAATTTTTGTGTATAACATTTTTCTAAACACAAATTTGTGTATAACAGTTTTCTCTAAAGAAAAGTTTGTGTATAATAGTTGTCTTTAAACAAAAGTTTGTTTATAACAGATTTCTCTACAGAAAAATTTGTGTATAACAGTTTTTACTATAGAAAAGTTTGTGTATAACACTTTTTTCTAAAGACAAATTTGTGTATAAGGCTTTTTTCTACAGAAAAATTTTTGTATAACAGTTTTTTCAGAAGAAAAGAAGAAAAATTTGTGTATAACAGTTTTTTTCTATAGAAACATTTGTGTATAACACTTTTTCCATATAACAATTGTGTATAACACTTTTTCCTTAGAAAAATTTTGTGTTTTTCTATAGAAAAAATTCAGTATAACAGTTTTTCTATAGAAAAATTTGTGTATAACAGTTTTTTATTTAGAGAAAAGTTTCTGTATAACATTTTCTCTATAGAAAAATTTTTGTGTATAACAGTTTTTTCTGAAGAAAAATTTGTGTATAACAATTTTTCCATATAAAAATTGTGTATAACACTTTGTCCTTAGAAAAATTTTGTGTTTTTCTATAGAAAAAAATTCAGTATAACAGTTTTTCTATAGAAAAATGTGTGTATAACAGTTTTTTATTTAGAGAAAAGTTTCTGTATAACAGTTTCTCTATAGAAAAATTTGTGTATAACAGATTTTTCTATAGAAACATTTTGGTATAACAGTTTTTCTATAGAAAAAATTGTGTATAACAGTTTTCTCTATAGAAAATTGCTGTATAATGATTTTCTTTTAAGAAAAGTATGTGTATAACAGTTTTCTCTAAACAAAAGTTTGTATATAACTGTTTTCTCTATAGAAAAATTCGTGTATAACAGTTTTCTCTAAACAAAAGTTTGTATATAACGGTTTTCTCTACAGAAAAATTTGTGTATAACAGTTTTTTCTATAGAAAATATTGTGTATAACACTTTTTCTAAAGAAAATCTATACCTAACAGTGTTTTCTACAGAAATTTGCTTGTATAACAGTTATTAACTCTCCTGAAATACTTTTTCTTAAACTCTCTTCAAAAATTAAGAGCAAACTCAATTTAAGAGCATAAAATAATCACTGCTTTAAAACTGTCTTTTTAATATTGGTTTATCTTTGGAACAAAAAAATATCTGGGTTTTAAATACACATTTATTTACATACTTGGATACACAAATACTTTAACAATAACAACAACAACAGAAAAAAAACTAAAAATAAAACTGAAATTATTACAACAATAAAAACAAAATAAATAAATAAATTGCCTGACAGTGACTGAGCCGCGATAAATAGAGGAGATCTGCTGTTGCGTCATGATTGTTTTTTTGTTTTTTATATATTTTCTTAACACCAGCATGACTACTTTATTATTACAAGAGACGTCTACAGCTAAAGAAAAAAAAAATCAGCAACAACAACTCTACTTACAACAAATAATTGTTGTCTTATTGCTTCCATAGTGTTGTTGCTGTTATTGTCGTAGTCATCCATCGTTAATGTTTGGTATTCACATTCGTTTTTTACATTTTATTTGTTTTGTTTGTGGTTTATATGTATGTTTCGTTGTTGCTGCTGATAAACAAACATATTTACATACATTACATTTATATGTACGTATGTAATTGTTTGTTTGTATGCCAAAGCTGTGGTTATTATTTCCCTCTCTCTCTCTCTCTCTACCTCTCTTTTTTACTGTTGCTAACATATGGTTCAGCTTTGGTTGCTAAGTAGGTCAAATATTATAAACAAACCGACAATGAAACGAAACTTTTAAACGAAACGATTCAAACCGAATGAATTGCTCATAACGAATAGCAAATGAAATCGAAATCAAATAATAACAAAACAAATGCAAAAACAAATACTACAACTGCTAAAACTAAAAATAATTGCTTCTTGCGTTTTATATGCAAAAAAAAAAAAAAAAAAATATATAGAAAAATAATAATAAATAAATTAAACGTCAACAATAATTGATATTCTGCCGGCTTAAAAATAGCAACAAAATGAATGTTTTGTCTTCAAAGACTTTATAGAAGAAGAATGTATGTATGTTTGTAATTTTAGTAGACAGAAAGAACTTAGTAATAGTTAGAGTTGTAGTTGTTGTTGTTGCTGTTGCTGGTATTATTGGAAACGAAATAAATCTATCTATCTATCTATCTATCTATCTATCTATCTATCTATCTATCTATCTATCTATCTATCTATCTATCTATCTATTCTATCT